ATCAACTATTAGAACTCTGGATAGACACTATCTCTTCCCGCTACTTTTCCCTATTTCGTGGCTGCATTAATCTCCATACTTATGAATGCTCGGCTTCCAGACCATTGGAGTGACTTAGCAGTGGCATGTGCATGATTTACAGACCCCAGATTTCAGGCACATTTACGCAAGTGTGTAAAGTCTGGATCTTCTACCCAGTCACACCACCTGAAGATATGGCTACAGAGTTTTGTTGGAAAACCAGCCGTTTTTAGGGTTTCCAGGGGTCCAGTTTTGAACCGGACAGTCCAATATTTGAGCTTACTGTTCGGGAAACAAATTGAGAAAACATAAATGAGAAAATATAAACATCTGGTATTTTCTAAGTAAGATGTAATGTAGATTGTGATGTAATGTCAATTGTGTCCGGTATATTTGTTGAAACCCTAGCTGTTTTTCCGACAAAACTTGAGGAACATCCACACTACAATCGCATTCTTTTGAAAGTAAACTGAAAGAACAGAGGGGTTTTTCCGATGGTAATCCTCTTTCTACGAGGAAGAAGCCTTTTTCAGAAAGAGCTCTTTCAGAAGAAGGTGTGTGTGGACAGGAGGGTTTTCTTTTGGGAGAAGAAGCCTCCAGGAAACAGCACAGGTGCTCTGGTGGCCACTCCATCCAAAGTAATCAGGACTCTATAGTTCCTGTCTCCTGACCCCTCTTAAAGCTGCAGGCACCCTTGACAAGCCTTGTGGCAGGAAGCCGGCCTGAGAACAGCACCTCACCGCGTGGTTCTCTCTGTCACAGGCCTTGTCAGCCATGACAGAGTCTCACGCCCCCCGTGACCTCCCTGGCCCTCGCAGGGAGCAGCCCCAGGGGTCCCAGGATCCACCCAAGGGGACCAACAGGTGGGCACCCTCCTGGTCTGGAGCAGAGATCCTGTTCCTCCTCAAGCTGTGGGGCAAGGAGGACACATTGCAGGCTCGCCACTCCAAGTGGCAGAACACCGACATATATGAGCGCATGGTCCCTGGTGGAGCGCGGACACCCACCCTGGACTTTGGAACAGGTCTGGAGTAAGGTCAAAGTGCTCCATCAGGGATACATCCGGGCCAGAGAGCACAGCTCCCGCTTGGGGCCAGGCCCCCACACCTGTCATTATTACCAGGAGCTCCACCAGATCCTGGGGGGTGGGGAAACATCTTCCCCACCTGTCCTCATGGACTCTGGCTTGCAGACCCCCATCATCACTCGGCCAGAGGTCTTGGTGAAGGAGGAGCAGGAGGACCAGGGCCAGCTGGAGGTGGTGGAGGAGGAGGAGACAGAGACCATGATTCTGCTGTCCCTGGAGCCAGTGCCTGTGAACCACGACATCTCCCAGGCCTCCTCAGACACCTGGGAGGGATCTTCAGGTGCGTGGTCTCACTTTGTCATACACACAGAGTGGGAGAGGCGGGTGCATGGGGCTGGGTGCGAGTGCCACTCGGGCTGCTTGAGCTGGACATCGTGCTTTTTCGATGAGCATTTTTTGTATGGACATGTTCTTTTGGAAGAGGTTTTTCCGGAAGATCTCTTCTTCCAAAAGAAGCATGCTGTCTAGGTGTAGCCAGAGTGGCCTTACTGCTTCCAGAGATAGGAGGGCTTTCCAGTGTCTGGGTCTCTACACTTGTCATATTTGCAGAGGTGCTTTTGACTCTCTGCATCCCAGCAAGGAGCGTACAGAGACCTGTATGCCTAAGAGAAAGTCCCTTTTGCAGCAGAGATTAGGAGAGCAGTAAAACAGTCAACAAATTTTGGCATTGAGGGAATGCGGGAGATTGTATCATCCACTGTCACAGTGAAATGGCCCCTCTGGTTTTTTGAAGTCTCTACACAGTACTGGTTTTGAGTAGAGAACTAGGATTTGAATGCCAATATGGGCCAGGAGTGGTCAATGCTGGCTGTTCGGGAAATAATCAAAGAGGATCCGTGAGTCACCATCATCTTTAGAGATAAACATCAGGTCAAGGCAGTATCATCTGCTCCTTCTTGCAGTGTGGACAGTGATGCACTGTTTTGCATTAGAAAGATGGAGCATATCATTTGCAGACTCCCACCATTTCATTTCTTCACTTGCAATGTTGTTTGCTGCATAGCCCTATGGAGTGTGGTGACTATTAAATCTGCCCACAAACACAGCAGGGCTCTGTGCAGTCTGTAGAGCTGGTTGAAGCGACAGTGCACCAGGATGTTTATACACATGAATGATGGCTCTGTGTGCGATGCACACGGAGATTGTAGTTTGTTTCTGCAGGAGTTGCACCACATATTGGTTGATCTGTTTTAGGTAAATTGCTAGCTCTTATTTGGCATGGTAATTGCTGGCTATGAGTACTTAGCCATTGATTTTATTGTACAGGCAGTCCCCGGGTTACGTACAAGATAGGGACTGTAGGTTTGTTCTTAAGTTGAATTTGTATGTAAGTCGGAACTGGTACATATTGTAGGGGAAACTCTAGCCAAACATTTCTCCAGAGCTCAGTTTTATTCTCCCACACCTCACTTCCCTCAGTCCTTTATTCTCAAGCTGAGGTATCTGCTGAAAAAATCTGCTCTGCGTCTCCCTGGTCTGCTGGGGGGAAGCAGCTAATGCGGGGTTGCCTCACCCAGTTTGTAAGTAGGGATCCGATATAAGTCGGATCCATGTAACCCGGGGACTGCCTGTAGTAGGGCTTTTTCTTCATTTGCAATATGGGTCCCCTGGAGGATGGGGACATCAATATTTTCTACAGTATTTTCTCCAGGTAGTTACACTTGGACCATGGATCTTCAACATTCAACTGGCAGATCTTTTCCCCAGGTTTGATCTGTCTACAACATTGGTCTTGAAAAGTCAAGCATTGCTTTTGTTTATCTTTTGTCCAGGAAATCAACAGTGTTCAGTCGCCAGTTTAATTATGATGGTTGTGATTTCCCAGTTAATAGTGTAGGCCATGTGAAGGTAGTCATCTCAAAATAGTACTCCTTTTGCATGTTAAACTGAATATAGCTATCTCCAAATTTACTGTTCAGCTGGGGAAATTTGTCTCAGCATGGCTGTATATTTTCTTTTTTCCAATAATTTAGGTGCTAATATTTCTCATGTCTTATTCATTTGTTGTTAAAGATATTACACCATTACACCAAAATAAACCATATTGTATTTCAACATAATAAATCCAAGTTTAAAGCGTTATTCTTTGTTCTCAAATTAACAAACTTTTCTTTGTGGAAAAACATCTATAGAACCATTGTCCAGAATTATTTCAGTAATAACAAAGCCATATAAACAGCAAGTGAATGGTACATTTTTAAATGTCTTGCCTTCAAGTTACATCCAGAAACAGATAGCCCACTGTGCTGGGAGAGAAGATGGGTTCTAAGGGGATAGGTTTGGCTAAAAATGATCAGCTGTGAGAAACGGCTCTGTTGAAACAAAGGCACATTTTAATGGTGCAGAGCAAAGGTGATTTCCTGTTTTGTTTAGGCCTTTGTTACCCCTCTGAGGGAGTTTACTTTTTTGCTGGTGATTTAAGCTGCTCTCTCTTTCTCTCTCTCTCTCTCAGAGAGGGGAAAGTGCCTCTGTAGGTCACTTCATTTTACACTATATGCACTGACCAGGAGCTTACTTTAGTTAGAAGGAGCAAGCTGCTAGAGGATCTGTTTTCTATTTTCTCCTCTAGATTAAATGCATCTGGACTGAAGGAAAAAGAGCCACTTTCTGCCACTGTGGGGAAAGTTTCCCTGCAGGAATCTGGCTGTGGTGGGGGTGGGCAGTGTCAGAATGAATGCAGCCTTCCTGGCAAGAGCTGTAATTCACAAAGCATCAGATCCTGTGAAACAAGGCAGATCAGAAACCCTACCCCTTATGTTTGAAAAGCAAGCCCCAGAGGTGATTGTTTGCACCAGGAGAGAGAGACTGGGGAAGGGGAAAAAACGCCTCTCTTTGTCCTGTGGAGTGTCTGGAAGAGACACTCCTTTTCTTTAGTTTACCTCCATGGCAGGGTGGAGAGGAGGGATGTCTTTCTAAAGTCTCAGAGGGTATCGGTGTTAGTCTGTAACTTTAAAAACAAGTTGTCCTGTGGCACCTTAGAAACTTTATCTATCGATCCGAGAGTATCATGAGCTTTCCTGGGCTTGTGAGATTCAAACCAGGATTTGGAGACTGCAGTAACTCAGGCAGAGGTTATGGTGGGTCTATTTCAGGGGAGTCGAGACGATGGCGATGGGCCCTTTTGCCCTGAGAGGCGGGAGACGATGAGCTCTATGAAGTTCGCCAAGTTCTGTCAGGAGCGGCTGGGCGCTTCTGCCGTCCCGCACTTCCCAGGGGCTTTGCAAGGACTAGCTCGGTTTAGCCTCCCCCTCTGCCTTGCGGCAGCTCCAACGAAAACTGAGAGCTCGCAGCTTTCCCGAGGGATAAGGGGGGGG